TTTCTGCCAGATTCTTTCGTTTCATGCAAAAACGCGTCGAATGAGCCTAATTTTATCGAAATCGGAGGTGAGGGAGGTATTCTGAATAATTACCAAAAACACAAAATAACTAAAAAAGACATTTGCATATAATTGGTGAATAGTGAATGATATGCTACAAGCTGCGTTCCGTAAAGCGCATGATATATCGTCTTATTCTTAACGTTCTGTGAATAACATAATAAAACAGTACATTACACGTTTTCAGAACGCAGTCAAAATCAAATGCATTATTTCTTACACGATTTCTCCTTCCAAATATATCAGTAGAATAAATAATATTTCCAATACACGTTAGAACATTTGTCACGTTTCGTATAGATATTATTAACGGAATCTAACTTAGGTTAAACGATCAAATACACACCAAAGTAAATCGTTAGTCACGACTGGTCATGAGCTATGAATATCCATGATACACAATGCACATGATAATGCATGGGAGGATCAGAAACAGTGTTGCTAACACTGAATTTCAAAATACCGCTAGAGATGCTTTATCAAAATATTCCTTTATCCCTAGGGTAATTATAAGTTTAGCACCAACCACCTTAAAGGCCTAAACAACGTGATTGGTCGAAAACCTTACTGTTATGCTGGATTCACCCTGCATCCGATTTGTTTCGTACGACGCTCCGCAACCAATCAGAAAACAGGATTCCGATGATACGAAGCAAAATACATCGGAATCCTGTTTTCTGATTGGTTGCAGAGCTTCGTACGACGCAAATCGGATGGAGGGTGAATCCAGCATTACTGCTACGGAAAGTGTAGGTTTATCGCGTCGCAGGCATCGTCTACAATACATGGAGTAAGAAGTAAGAGTAAGAAATTGACCAATCACAGTCGAATGTGAGAAGAATACTCGACTGCGATTGGTCAATTTCTTACTCTTACTTCTTACTTCGTGTATTGTAGACGGGCCTGCATGCTCCAACATGCTCCTACCATAATTCCTACTTATTCCAACATGATCGTTGAAGTGAATAGGAGCTATGGTAGGAGCATGGTGCGGAAAACGCTTGCGGAATGGAGAATGCGTAATAGAAGCAACCAATCAGCGTTATTCTGCGTTATTCCAAATAATGCTAATTGGTTGTTTCAATGGGCGCGTTCAAGTCGACAAAGCGGCTAGGTCTGCTCGCCAAACTATCCAACTAAACATGATTGGTTGGATACCTCATGGGATTTCAGCCTAAAAGTATTATCCAATCAGCGTGAAGAAAACTTCCACAGCTGCAAAATGAACGTTCTGCTGAAGGCATCTATAGAATTCCACCATGGGTGATGTTATATACGTCACTGTGCGCATCGTTTTGATTAAAGATGGCGGAGACAAAAGACGAAAAATTCGTGTCACGAAGACGGTCCGCTGCTTTGAAGGCTTTTAAAGTTAAAGACGAGAGAGTGGCCACTTTCAAGAAGGTATACGCGTGTTAACATTGCTGTTCAAGAAATTATCACTTGTAAAACTTGTAAAATGTGTACAAACCTCCTAACCACGTCCAGTGATATCCTTCGAATAGATATATCGTAAACAAATCTCATTGAAACATGACGTTTTTGTCAGGTGGCAGCGATTTTACAGAAATCGGAAATAGACAGGACGGCGGAAGAAACCGGGATACTTGCCTCGTGCAGCGACGTAGTGAAAGAGGTCAATTTACGGTAATAACCATTATAAACAGATATTTTTAAGAATTAGTAGATACTTGATAGACATTTTTAGTCATATCTCCCTTGGAGCAGACTAAAATTTATCTGGTGTATAAATTATACCGTCAGATTTAGGGCCGGTTGTTCCACCTTTTGGTAAATTTTACCTGTTGGGTAAGTAACAAGATTACTCAGTCACATGCACGGATCACTAGATTTACCTTACAGGTAAAATTTACCAAAAGGTGGAACAACCGGCCCTTAATATAATACTGTAAAATTACAGAGATATTTTATTGGTAAAATTTGTTTTTTGTTAACTTTATACACAAATAGGCTGCATTCATATTTTCAGCACTAACGCATAAGATTAAGCAACGTTTTTGTTATATATTTCCATTAAATCAAATTATGAATTGGCAAAACTGCATCTAAAAACAAGCACTATTCTTGAAGTCCTGTTGGAGTTTGCTGTTCTCAATATAATTCTTTACATCCCTGATGAAAATTTTTCTTATAATTTTTATACGAATTGGAACATTTTTCAGAAATACTCAAAAATATTTAGAAAGTTTACGTCTCTCAGAATTGTTTATATATATGAATTCTGAAATATTCTGAGATTTCTCATCCCATAATTTAAAAAATATATATTAAAATTTTTTAGATTTTATAACATTTGATCACAAATTATAGTTACAAAAAATCTTAGAAATCTTACAATATTTCATATATGGGAAATTTTGAGAAAAGATGTGGATTTTCTGAGAAACGTTCCAATTCATATAAAAAATGTGAGAGAGTAATAAAAAATTATATAGAAATTCTGAAAAATTATATGAAAAATTCTGAGAAAATTGTATATAATCCACTTGAAAAGTATCTTAATGTTGAAGCATATTCTTTTCAAATTTCTATGTATAGTACATCATAAACATTTTTTTAAGTTTCTCTATAGTTATATATCTGATTTCTTAATTATTATATGCTATGTGTAAAATATTAATATACAGTATCAAAATTTTTTATTTCTTTAATTTTTTCTAAATTACTGTTTTTAAATAAGAGAATTCTATATTTGTTCGAAACAGATTTTAGTGCTTAAATACATATTTCTCGTGTGAATTTTTATACATTCTGATTTTGCATATCGAGTATAGAAATGTTTTTCCGGACTTAAAACGTATTTAGCAGAACCACACTGAAAAAAATGGAATATATGAATAACAAGCTACGGCTAAAACTTGTTGAAGGTCACTCAGGGCCATGACCTTGATAACATATGTCAAGG